AAGACTGTGGCTGCTTCCCTGGGCAATTTTGGGTTGACCCAAAGAGTCTTTGTAAGAATCAATGGAAAAGGTGGCCCAGCAAACATTTTTGTTAAGTGAGGTTTTGCCCAAAATGTAGGAAATGAAATTGTTTAGCCAGTACAGTTTACAACATACTGTGGAAAACCTACATTTAAAAACAGCAGTAAAAGAGTCGAGCATTGGCAATTGTGGCTTCCTTACTTCAGTGAGCTAGGCTGGTCCTTACTTCGGGAATCGCATCCCCTGCTCAAGTCAGCTAATTTCAGGCCATGTTCCCTTCTCACCGTTGAAGCTTGGTAAGTTACGCGCATGGATCACAGATCCCTCGTTAGCTCACTTGAAAAGTCAATACAGGAAGAAGCAGACCTGAGTAAGAGTCAAGATTAACAATTAACCTCAGAATTCACACAGAAAGTGGTGTCAGGGGTTAGCTGGAGGAGGAAATCTTTTTTCCTCCCCCGCGTGACTGTGTGTTTATAAGGAATCAGGGTGCAGCCTCACTTAAGAGGTGAAGCTTTACTTAAGAGTCTGCATTTGACAGGAGATCAAATGAATGGGATGCAGAGAAATGTGTGACTTTTACTTTGTAAAATGAAATGGCTCAGCCCCTTCCCTGCCCAGCTCCTCACGTCCCTTCCATGTGTGATGGTCTCAGAGGGTCCCAGTAATTTTCTGTCACGCATGAAGCTGTATAGGTAGCTGCTCCCCCTGCCTACTTATGCAAGCTTACTTTGAACATGAAGTTTATGACTTCCATTTTGATCTCTTTGCCGAAATCTGTCTTTTATGTGGAAGAATGTAAGGAATTACAGCGTACCAGCTTTACGTTCACGAGGATACCCCTTGACCCCAGCCGGCGACAAACCTACATGCCTCAAAGCATTGACTCTTAAGGCTGATTCAGTACAGAGCCGTTGGGAAGCAAGAATAACTGGCTTCCCAGGCTGGTTAAACTGTTTAGATCTGTGTTTCTGCAGCAGAAATATTGCCTGTTAAGCTAGTGGTTCTGCGCAGAGAAACTGGAAGAGATTGAAGAGCAGCAAAAAGATGAAAGGCGCAGTTCCTTGAGCTCGCTTTTTGCATTCTCTGGCAAGTCTGAAAAAATAAAGATCAAGTAAATTTCACTGCTACTTCTGTTGCCTCTGCTTGAACGAGTTTATCTTTAACATGAAGAGTAGCCAACTTCATCTTTAAGATTTGTTTAGCGTGCTCAAATGCGGAGGGTATTTGTTGAGCTCCTACAACATGCCACACCCTCTGCTCAGTACCAGGGAAACAAAGAGAAATGATAGTGATGATGATGATGCTGCTTGGCTTAGTAGCTGCCATTTATTGAACTTGGCATTGGATTAAGGGCTCAGCACAGATTTTTATAATTTAGTCCTCTGATGAATAACACTTATGAAAAAGATACTGATAATTGTCTCCATTTTACGGACTAAGAAATAGTGTGAATAACTTGCCGGATCCCAAAGTTATTAAATAATAGAGCCAAGGTTTGAACTCAGGCAGTTCTGGCACAAAGCCAGTCTCATAAACCTCGTGGTTTACCACCTTTTAAAATAAAAGGTACTTCCCTTCGTTTTCATTTCCCAGGAGATGGTTTCCCCAGCTTCTTTGATCCAATTTGTAATTCTCTCTTACGTGCAGAGGAAAATGGCATTTCATAAACTCTTCATCATGCCTCATTCCAGTTTCTTCTATGACTGGTGACCAGAGTGCAAGGCAGCAGCTTCCCTATCAGCTTGGATTTTTAAGGCTTAAGGGAATTAGGATATTATTTTTATAGCATGTTTCTGAAGATAGTTGTTATAGCTGAAAGGGAAATCCAATAGAACTTAAATAAAACCAGGGCTTCAGCTCTGACCTTGGCAGCCGCCCTTCTGGACTATGCCTTTGCCATTCTTTGCCCCCACCATTGAGGGACCGAAGAGGGTTGTGCTGGGCAACTACAGGCTTCTCGACCTGCCAGTCAAGGTCTTCATGATAATAATGACATTTTTAATGCCACATGCATCATTTATTAAATATCTATTCTGAAGTAGGCCCTGGACTTGATGCTTTGTGCTATTTAGTCTTTATCATGGCCACTTTCTAGATGAGAGTACGGAGGATAAGAGAAGCTAATAATTTCCTCTGCGTTACACAACTGGTAGAGGCCAGAATTTGAAACCAGGTGTGCCTGACTTGTGTGCCTGTGCTCTCAATCAGAATCTCATTCTGGTTTTTACACACACACACACACACACACACACACACACACACCATTATTCTGCTGGGAGATTTTACTTCTGTACTGAATTCTGTGTTGGACAACTATAGTCTACCTCTAGTATTAAATTTACCCTTTTCTCACTCTTCCTTC